ATGAGTCGTCAGACATCAGAAATCGGTCATTGGACATTTTACATCACACATTAGACATCCTTATCCATGCAATTTCCGTTTTTGGAAATATTTTAAACCTTTTTTAAAGTTTCATTCGGCATTGGACTTTTTGGAGTTAATTTTGGTCCAGTGATGTTTATGGGTTTCGTTGAGGGACTTTTCTGGGTTTTGATTTTTCCTTCTTTTGATCATCGTCGTCGCCGTCAATTTAGTTCCGTTTTGGATCTTGATAGTGGGCGTTTGTTCGAGGTGGGCGCACCAGCCGGTTGGGCGCATATTTGAGGCTTGGGGCTTATTAACTTTTTCTGCCTTTAGGATGGGCTCTTATTTGAAGTGGGCGCTAATTCGAGGTTGGGCGCTTATTCTAATAAACACAGTATCTCTCTTTCTCTTTTTATAAAGTTAAACTTAATGTTACCCAGATGTTATGGTTGGAAATTTAATTTATTTATTGATACTTTGAGGTCGATTCGGCAGATATCTACGGACCGGTTGTCTTTCTGTACTGTTCTTATACAGGCTTCACTTTTTCCCAGTCCACACGTATGAGTTGTCGTTTTAAAAGACATGCATCTTTTGTCCGTTTTGTGCCTTGCCTCCACTGTGGATGTTAATGAAAACAGAAAAAGCGTAGCATCCGACCTGATGAATCACTGCTCGCAGGGTAGCATCGTACACGTGCGAATCAGGCAAAAAACCAGGGGTAATGCCCAATTCAGTTTACTATGGAGCACTACTCAAGAATATTACAGTATTTTTGCATGTAATGGTCCTCTCTTGGAGGACATCTTGCCAAGGCTTTACCTTCACTATACCCGGGTCGCTTTTGCGCCATGTAATGAAAAGGTGATTTCGGAGCGATTTCCGCAACGGCTTTTAGTAAAATACAGCTAGTGGTCTATTATCATATCAGTGTTGCGTTCTGATTGGGTGAGCTGCTACCAGGGTATATGTTATAGCCCACTAGTAGCAAAAAGCGCCGGATTTGAAAACCAAAACAGTGGCGGTTGAATCGCGTTTTGCCAGCTAAAGTTGTTTCGTCTCGATATTTTTTACCAACTAGTTGGATTTTACTAAAACAATTATTCTTCTCGCCCTCATTGACTCAGCCCATTCGGGCTCGAGAAATAATAGTTGAATAACACAGCGAAGCGGCACTACGACGATCTTGAAAGTAGATCGTCAAATATATGGCGGATAAATTTCTGTTCATTCTATAAATTATACACTCTCTATATACAGGATAGCTTATTACTGGGGGCTAGGCCTAAGACTGACAGATCGCATTGGTTCCAACAGCCCCCGTTTTGAAAAAGATGACCGTATATATTCGCATCTCGCATCATTCTCATAAATTAAATGAAGAACAGCCTTTAGGAAGTACAGAAGAGTATTTTTAAGGCAACACCTCTTGTCTCTAGTGGCTGTTCTTTTATCCCTTGAACATATATAGTTCAGCTGATAGTTTATATAGCACAGTTTGAAGACCGACGGTTACTGTGGTTACGCTATATGACTTCATACGCGACATGCAAGTATTATTTCTCACTTACTCTTATATAAATATTCATTAACTTTATTTCGATATACAGGTATATGAATTTCTGAGCAAAATTTAAGATAGCAGCCATTTTGAATGACGTCAAAGAGCCCAACCCTTCTCCCTTCTTGTAAAACGATGGAGAATAGAACTGAAGGTACTTGAAGAACTAAGAAGAGAGACAAAGTAACAGGTAAAACAGAATAATGTCAGAGTTTCAAATTAATCACGGTGAATGTAGTTTCCTTTCTTCTGCAAAAAACACTTAGTGAGTGTTGCCACATTTTGTTTAGTACAGCAATCTCCGAGGTGTGCAAAGCAGTTCTTATTTATATTCACGACCAAGACCATTCTCTCTTGTCACAACTACGAGACGGAAATGGGTGTGCAGATCGAACTGTGAGCCTGCCTGTTTATAACCCTCCGAATATCTAACAAAGTTCAACATCGTGACTAAAAAAACAAAGTCACTCAGGCAAAATTAGATACGGGCGCCGCCTGATACTTAAACTCAAAAGCCGAATGGGATAAATTGGGAACGTATTCCTCAGCCAATGCTGTTGCACAATTTCTGGGGGTTAAAGGTAAAAAGTCAATCAATAGATAAATGAAGTAAAGCATAAAATTAAAATAAAACTTGAACGTTCGAGAGCTGAGATAAATACATTGCAACCGTCAAAACCTTATACACCTAACAACAATAGAGTCAATTGACGCCATAACGGTTCACTTACGTTCATAAAAAATAGGAAAGTATTTACATTCTCTGTGAACGTCCCATGTTTAGCTCCACCGAATGTAAATACATTACTGTCAACAAGGGCCTTTAACGGCTAAATTTCTTGCCACAAATATATGTCCTGTTTACATAACACGATTCATCGTTCCATATTCCGTTCGATTTCACAACCAGTTCGGTGCAATTTTCACCGCTGTTAGCGTTATTTGGCTCACCATCTCCCCAGTTTCTGAAGTCCACCCTGGAACCATCTACCCACTCATAGCTATGATCTGTACTGTTTAAGTTGAACAGTCCTATCCAGGCAGACGACATCGAAATCAGCGATTTCTCTTGGTGCACAAAAGTATTTTCTTCTGTACTGTGAATTGAGATGAGGTTACTGCCGATAGTGGTGCAAGACTTTCGCGCTTCAAACCAGGATACCTCTTCTGTGAACACTTTGAAGCACGAGTTATTAAAGTAAAACCAATCAGGCGTAGTGCATGTCTCTGCGAAAAAAAACAAACAAACAAATAGAACGTTGACGGTTTTTGAAATGGCTCATCTGCATTTTTTCAAACTTGAAAAGACGAGATTTTTCCGGCTCTAAACACACGCATGCACGTTAATAATGGACAAATCACTAAATGAGTGACATTTTTTGGATTGTGATAATGTTTTGCCGTATCAGAACCGTAACATTGAATGTAACCTCAAAAAAAGTAATAAATCGCTCAAAACTGGCACATTCCATTCGTGTTCCATTCTCTGCCTTCCGAGTTTTCATCGAGCAGTATGTTAGTGAACTTCTTCAAGTTCTTCGGTAGGGGATACTTCGTTTTAAAAATGACGGGGAGAGCTCATTGTACCTTTTAGGGGTTAAAACGTTGCGGATTGGCACTTCTTTGAAAGCTGAAAAGACTGCAGTTATCGCGGTTGCCGTCCCTGTCGTACGCTCTTTACCACGTACTCGGCTAGATAGCGCCTGTTACGCAGAGCACTTGTGGGTTATAGTACCTCTTTTGTAAACTTTCCTCTCAAAAATTGAAGTACTTTATACAGTTCGTTCTAACAGGGAAACATTTGCCAGACAGATACGATTTAAGCCAAAATAGTAATAATAATAATAATAATGTGTTAATTAAGAAAAAATCGTCACTATACGTAAACAAAAGGAAGAATGGTACAAACTCTCAACACAAAGTTTCTGAGTTGTTTGGGTGGAAGCAGAACGTACAGATTAACAACGATTGCTTAATTAATGGTTGCCTTTGGTTGCTTTCGACCAATTAAAGCTTACTCTTGTCCACCCAAACGATCCAAGAAATCGCTACAACAAAAGCTCCTCCCCGTTCTCCCTTTATTTCATTGCTGTATAGAAAATTATATCATTTTAATAATAAAATAACGTCTCTTACTAGCTTCACAGAGCTTTCCATAAGAGTGCGGACCACATTCACAATTGAAACGTTTGCCGATGACGTCACAAGTTTCGTGACACGTTCCTCCGTTAAGACAAGGATTGCTTTCGCAGCAGCCGTTCTGACAGTCAACGGCAGGAACATTGGGCTGAAAAGAAATTCAAGAAAATTATTAGACCCATTGAGCACAAAAAACATCACATCTTCGTCGATCTTAGGGTCGAGTTAGTTATGGGTCTACTTAGCTCAACTTCCAGGGGACGAAATAATGGATTTACCGAGCATCGATAAAGACCACATTTTCACACCTTTGACGCGCGACAAATAATGGTCTTCAGGCGATTTAGGGCGCTTTTGTCACGCCTTTACACCTCCCCTTTGAAGGGTGTTATTTGATTAGCATTCGTGCCCCTATCAAAGATGTTGCCAAATATGTCTGAAATTCGAGCCAAAGGTACGCAAAGTTGCGGGTAAAATAATGCCTGAGATTAAAGTCAAAATCTTGCTAGAAGTGTCGTCAAATTTATCCAACGCTCAGGTCAAAGATTTGACAAAGGTGTCGTCAAATATGTCTGAGATTCATGTCAAAAGTTTGAATCTTGATGGAAATCCTGGCAGGGATCTTGCTGAGAATCTTGCGGGAAATCCCTGCAGAAATCTTCATGAAAATCCTGGAAGGGATTAATTCAAGAGCAGCGCCAAACCGGTGGAGATGGATAATTATTTTAAGAGCCTGATCTACTTACACATGATATGGTATGGCACTCTAACTTTTGTACCCTTTATTGCTCTTTACTAAGAAAATTGAAATGCCTGAACTATTCAGTCATCGAGCGGTATAAGTCAGGATTTACAAAGTGGCACATTTTTAAAAGGAAATTTCTCAAGTTTGAATAAATCATGCTAATTCGAAAAGAAAAGTAAAACGTTTTACAAAACCATCAGTCATGTTCATCGTGCGAATAAAAACTGGGGAATGTCATCAAAAGTCATGAATGAGCGTCATTTATGGGTCCTGAAAAGGGTTGTGGTAGAAGGACATGTTCTCTTACTCTTATGCTGTAGTCAATAACCAGATCGTAGTATTGCCATCCCTCCGCAAAATCCAAAGCACCGAAGTTAGTATATCTGTTTTCTTCGTTCAGCTGGCAGTTATCCTGGTGTGCGCTTTGTTTAAAGTTGAACGAGATACACCGACACTCCAATCGGCAGGCTTTAAAGCAGAATAAAGGCTCTGGAGCTGTAAGGTTGGCAATCACGTGACCTCGAATGATGTGGTTTTCAACCATGTCTTTTCCACGGGTGAAATAGTACGCACCGGTCATACAGGCGTCTCCTGTGCTTGCTAGACGCATAATTTGCAGCAAGTGCAGACTGACTTCAACAGCCAAAAGAAAGACATACTGCCTCGGAGGATTAATAGGCATTGCACTGACGTAGTTGTTCTCCTAGATCTGACCAATGCATTAAAAAAATAATAAAAATGTGTCATCTGAAATCGAAACGGGGTGGAATCCAGAATCCAAGACTGTCTTCCCTTACATGGGGCGATAATTGAGGGATAAAATCATTTATACTAAGAGATTAGCAGGATGGGGTATCATTACCTTTCCCTTGCCGAGACCAAACGAATTAATCATTAAAAGGTTGCAGTTGTTTCGAGCGTTTAAAATCTAGCCCAACGCGTATCTTCTACTAAAGAACGTTACAAGTAACACGTATGCAATTTACGGTTGTATGGCGTACCATTTATAAGTTCAAAATAAGAAGAATACGACGACGGAATAAACGAAGGAAATATAAAAATTGTAGAGAGAGATTTATCTAAATACAAAAATTTAAATTTGAAGGCTAGCTATAAAAGGGTGAATTAATCATTATTTGAATAAGCCATAGCGCGCGGGGGAAACCGCGTGGGAACCGCACCATGTATTCATCTGGTAAAACTCCCGACTTTGAACATTTTTATTCCTTTTATCTTACTTTGAACCACAGTAAATCAGATCTCACCAAAACTTTGTATTTTTGTTAAATTCTATATGGGTTTTGAAAAGAAATATATTTTCAGTTGACTTATGATGTTTTTTAGGTTGATTTAATGTTCATAAGCTGTAAATGTCACACACTTCAAGCCAACTAGTTGGCTATTGCCCACTTCAAAAATTATTGTGTTTTTTGTTTTAAAACTTAAAATGGAAATATTTTCTACTCTGCTAAACAAAGCAGAAGAAAATAGAGCTAACAACTAGAAATATCAAGACTGAAATTGATAGTAATATATAGATTTAGCCAGGGCTAAAAGCGAAGCTCTCGTTAATAAATTCATAATTTAAATCAAACAATAAACTTGTAATCCACAGATCAGGGCACATTGATTTGACCTTTGAGGCAAAGGCTAAGTGATTTTAGAGAAAAATAATTTGACAGTCCAAGAGTGAAATACCCTGCTAGCAGAGTCGCTTCGATCTTTCCTAGATAAGTCGGGAAAGAGGAAGCGACTCTGCCGTCATCTTCGAGTTCCTTTGATCTACCGATCATCTAGCTTTTTGGATGAGTCAGACAAGTTTTATACTGGATAAACCAGTTTTATCTGTGCACGCACGCATATTCTGGAATATTGCTGACTCTTTCTGCGCCCACGCTCCATAGAAAAACAAATAGCTGCCGCTTCTATTTCATGCTGGAATTTTGAGAACATTATAGATTGAACGTTCAGTTTTAGAAAATTGGAAAATGTGCCCAGATTCGAGATGGATTTTGTTTTGGATTTAACCGTGTACTTAGCCGATTTTACTGGGTGAACGGGTTCACAATCCAGTAAGTGTTACGCGAAGTTTTTGGAAGGATAAACAGATGGGTTCTGAATAAAAATATTTAAGAAACAATATCTCTGCTTATTCTTCTGTTTTTGCGATAACATTAATTCAAAATAAGATCATGAGGCTACAGCCTCCATGTTGCATTTAAATGATCGATGCTTTTACAGCCGTTTGTGGATAACACCCGACTTGCGATGCCAAAAACGTCTTGGATTTTTTTGTTTTTCTACGACGTCAATCAAAATCTGAAGAAACGACGCTTTCTTTGCTTTCTCGCCTTTTATACATCTTAGCGAACCTCTTAGGAAACAAAAGGTCGTCGTTCGTGATTTGTGATTGGTGGATTTCGATCCGTTTTGTGTGTTTCTGTATTTCTAGCTTGGATGCTTTGTTTTTGAAAAGCACCGTAAGTTTTACCTTAGCTCTAAGATTATTTTTATCTCCTTTATACTGAAACATGGCAAGTTTAGATTCCAAAGGTGAAATTGTTCCTATAGAGCTTCCAAATCCAGAGGAAACACAGCTACGGAAGGGTGAAAACGAACCGGTACGTTCCCGCTAACATTTACATTTGCTGACAAACACAGTGGATGCTACGGTAACGGTTTGATTGACGTCGCAGAAAAATTTGAATTTGAAGCATGCTCAATATGAATTTTTGAGGATGTCGGCAGAGGTTCCTTCCTCTTTCCGACTTATCTAGGAAGATCGAAGGAGACTCTGTTCGCAGGGCAAGAGTGAAACAAATTTTACATCGAATTATTAAATAGTTTTATTTGTACACCCAAAAATAGCAATCATGTTCGATCACAGTAGATTAGGCCTGGAAAACAAATAGACCTAGTCGAGTATTGTATTTGCATTAGCTGTTGCATAATAATGTGGTATTCACCTGTCTCTTCAACATTGCTCCGTTAGAGAGACTATGGATAATAATATAATGTTAAGAAACACACGCGCCGATAGTCCTTGGTGGCAGCCAATTTACACGTTGCATTCCTCTGTCTAAAAGAGAGGCCAAAATAAAAATCAGGCCGGATTTTTTGTGTTCGGCAAGTTTAGGTTACTAGTAAATCTCGGCGACGAATCTGGTGGCGTGTAAACCAGCCTTTTAAACATACTTTTTCTCATCACGTCTCAGGTAAACAGTACTATGAGGCCCTTTTTTATCATACAGACCTCGGACAGACTTTGTTCTTTTTTGCCCTATTTAAACCCATAATTCTGCAGTTTTTCACAATTTTGCGAGAGAATTTGCACTCATTCAATATCCACGACGATCAAAGCACGCGCTTCCTTTGCACAACAAATTATAGCATTGAATTAAAAAAGGTTTTCATGAAAAGAATTCTATAATGCCGGGACTTTTCAGTTAGAAAAATCTGGTCCTATGTGATATGCAGGGTAATAATTATGGGCGTTTAATGAAAACGACAAAAAAATTTCCCAAAATCACTTTTCGGCCAGCCGGACGGGTTCTCACTTTTGACAGGCACCACAGTTGCGGTGCGATTAATAGTTATCATTTACGCTTCAACATGATAGAGAAATTGTTTTTTGGGGGTTTTATTTCCCTTTATTTATTAAACTGTGTATGGTTTTGTTATGGCTAATCTTTAAAAGCGAGTGATATTTACGCACGGCGTTTTGAGTATTCCTGCATGCGATGTATATGTTCGACTGGAAACAACCGGTGCAGCGATAAAAATATGCGAGAGGGACTACAAACAGTCAATAAAATAAATATAATTCGGTGAAACATGTACAGAGACAATAATTTTCATTCACGAAGAGAAGTATCGAGAGTAAAGTGTCTCTGAAAATCATGAGTCAGGTAAGCATAAGCTTATTTATGTTTGAAGCGGGAAGATGAACTCGAGGCAAGAAAATCGCTCAGAGCTTTCTGTTTACAGCCAAAATCATAAGTAAATAATCTTCGGAACCTTTCTTTGAATTTGCGGTCAAAAAATGTCTAAAGGCTTTTTAAACCTGCTACTTTTGTAGGTTAGATCATTGCTCGTGTATAAACTTAAGGTGACTCGACCCAGTTTTTTTTAGGGGGTACCATCCTACTTTGAAGATCTCTGGTATCCCCACCTTTACTTTTATCGTGAGTATAACACATAGAATGGATAACATATAGATCAATCTACAATATAACATAAAATTTTTGGCGATCGGAGTAAATGTCACGCGGTTATAATGCCACGCCTCTTTAAGGTCTGAGTCGAAAATCTGCTGTTGCCAGCATTTTTTCGTGAAAATCTCTCGGCTACACATAGTGCGCATTATTGCCTTGCGCTGAACAGAGTTTCACCAAAATCGCAAAGACCCAATTCGAGAAATTCAGCGGTTTCCAAATTTAGGTCATAATTTATACGAAAATGATAAGCAAACTTTACACGGATTATATCTAATAAACTATGAGATTCATCTCTTTATTTTGGGCATCGTTATAACAGATGGGTCCTTGCAAGTCAGCAAAACGCTTTAGGGCCTTGTAAATGCGCGCGATTTCGAGCAAAGCAAACATATAGAAATTATAGTTTTCGCTATTTGTTGACGTTTGTCAGCGTTTAAGAGTCCTTCTCACGAAAAAAGCATTTTCTTAAAAATTCGTAGTTTTTTTTCCTTCAAATTTTTTCAGGGCCACAATTGATTAACTAACTACCCGGACTCTGAATTTCATGGTCATTGAAAAACTGTGACATTATCTTCTATAAGCCCAAACTTGAGTAAACATTGAAGATTTTTAGCGTTTTGGCTGAGTTTGTGCTTTGGGAGTTGTCTATTGTTTCTAGTCTGTCATTATACAGCATTCTTGTTCAGCACGCGTGCAATGACCGCGCTTGGCTGACTTCCGAATGCTCACCGAGATATAATAATTTTGGTACAGTGAGACAGGCCATCGCGTGATACATAGAGGTTTAAGTCACAATTTTTAATCAATTCTCGTGCTTCTTGTGCCTTTGCAAAAAAATCAAGAAGTGCTACACACTAAATCTACTTACTATTAAAAAAATATCATTTTTTCATAGGTTTAATGCAAGCCAATAATTAAACCAACTCGTGACGGGAATATCTCGGTGAGCATTCGGAAGTCAGCCAAGCGTGGTCATTGCACGCGTGCTGAACAAGAATGCTGTATAATGACAGACTAGAAACAATAGACAACTCCCAAAGCACAAACTCAGCCAAAACGCTAAAAATCTTCAATGTTTACTCAAGTTTGGGCTTATAGAAGATAATGTCACAGTTTTTCAATGACCATGAAATTCAGAGTCCGGGTAGTTAGTTAATCAATTGTGGCCCTGAAAAAATTTGAAGGAAAAAAAACTACGAATTTTTAAGAAAATGCTTTTTTCGTGAGATTGACTCTTAAACGCTGACAAACGTCAACAAATAGCGAAAACTATAATTTCTATATGTTTGCTTTGCTCGAAATCGCGCGCATTTACAAGGCCCTAAAGCGTTTTGCTGACTTTCAAGGACCCATCTGTTATAAGGATGCCCAAAATACAGAGATGAATCTCATAGTTTATTAGATATAATCCGTGTAAAGTTTGCTTATCATTTTCGCATAAATTATGACCTAAATTTGGAAACCG